ATTTTGAACGTACTTATCACGCAACAAAAGCCGTTTGGTGGTATACAAGACAGTGTTTTACATACAAGATGTTGAATGGCGCATTAAGAACACTCAATGGTGATATAATGATCCGAATGGGTTTTTTCCTGTGTGATGTACATCGTCAAATTGAACATTTATACAAACAACAGGTCAGTCAATACCATAGCAAAATTTTTACAATCTTTCGAGGGCAAGGCCTATCGAAAGCTGATTTTGAAAAGCTTGCAGAAAACAAAGGTGGGCTTATTTCTTTTAACAACTTTTTATCTACCAGCACAAATTCAGATGTCTCCCTCGTTTTCGCCAAGGGAGCCTTGAAAATGACTGATATGGTTGGAATTCTATTTCAAATAACCATTGATCCTACAGCATCATCAACTCCATTCGCCTCCATTCGAGAGGAGAGTTACTTCAAGGATGAGGAAGAAATTCTCTTCACCATGCACACCGTCTTTCGCATTGGTGAAGTTCAAAAAATTGACAACAATCGTGCACTTTATCAAGTCGATCTTCAACTTACGTCAGATGATGATCCACAACTTCGAGAATTAACTGACTTTATACGAAAAGAGGTCAGCGGCACTGGATGGTATCGAATGGGGCAATTGTTATTCAAAATAGGTCAATTCGACAAGGCCGAAGAACTATATCTGGCACTACTGGAACAAGCATCGAACGATAGTGATAGAGCATACATCCATCACCAGCTTGGAGTGATGAAATACAGCCAAGGACAATACGAAGAAGCAGTTGCATTTTACGAAAAATCTCTGCAAATCAAGCGAAAAACTCTTCCAGAAGATCATCTTTCTTTAGCTCCTTACTACAGCAACATCGGCCTAGTGTATAATAACATGGGTGACTACTCGAAAGCACTTGAATTTTACGAAAAAGATCTAGAAATCACAAAAAAAGCTCTGCCTTCGAATCATCCAGATTTGGCTGCTTCGTACAGCAGCATCGGTCAAGTGTATAATAACATGGGTGACTACTCGAAAGCACTTGAGTTTTACGAAAAATCACATAAAATCTACGAAAAAGCTCTGCCTTCGAATCATCCCACATTGGCTACTTCGTACAACAACATTGGTCTAGCCTATATTAACAAGGGTGACTACTCGAAAGCACTTGAATTTTACGAAAAATCACATCAAATCTACGAAAAATCTCTGCCTTCGAATCATCCCTCATTGGCTACTTCGTACAGCAACATCGG